TTTTTTTCTATAAAGAAACAATGCAGGGGTAGCAACCGGTGCATTCAAGCTTTCTAAAGACAATATGGAACTACAGTTTGCAACAAACCACTTAGGTACGTATTTGCATATATACCAAAAATAATGGTTAAATTGTCCCTTTTTTTTTTTTTGGGATAAACTGAACGATGAAATTATTCGCAAATTAAAGATTACTGATAAAGGTTTAAAAATTTTCCGGAGCAAATATCTGCATATAGGTATAAGGTTTCATGCAAATACTTAAGATTGTAAGGAGGTAATTGTTGTGTTACGTTTAGTGCTATAGCTAGCATTTTCCATATTAGTGTACCGAGTAAATTGATTGTTCTTTTTTGTTTTCTCATTTTAATAAGCACTTCAAATTTGCATTATATGGTAGTAAAAATTAATTTTATTTTTCTTCTCCCTGTCTGCTAGGCCATTTTCTCCTCACAAATCTTTTGTTGGACACAATGAAGAAAACATCACAACAAAGTGGAAAAGAAGGAAGAATTGTAAACGTCTCCTCAGCTGGTCATCGCTTCACCTAAAACAGCATTTAGCGCAATAATAATAAAAAATAGAAATAAAAATAATTTTTTAATTTAATGTAAAATGAGAGATAAATAAAAAAAAATTTAGTTATTTATTATTTTTTATTTTTATTTTCTCCTCTCTCGAGTTGAGAGAGAAAGAGAGATATTAATGAATTTTTTTACACTGAAAATAATCTATTAATAAAACTACCAAACAAATTTTAAAAAATGATTTTTGTCTGAGATTAAAAGCGTTTTTATTTTTATTTTCATACTAAAATCATTTTGGAATGAATTCTAAACGCGCCCTTTGTTTTTGTATAAAAATAGAAATGAAAACGTTTTCAATTTCACACAGAAATCATTTTTGAAAATCTGTTTAGTAGTTTTATTAAGAGATTGTTTTCAATTTGAAAAACTCATTAATGTCTCTCTCTGCTCGAGAGAGGAGAAAACGAAAACAAAAAATGAAAAACGACTAAAAATTATTTTTTATTTCTCTTTCATTTTACACTAAATCAAAAAATAATTTTTATTTCTGTTTTTTTTTATCTTTAATTATACCAAATATCATTTTAAAATCATTTTTATTTTAAAAAAAAAATAAAAATAAAAACAATTCCAAACATTGTGTTGACGGTGATCCAATCATCCAAGTTCCTACAGCTCTCTCGGTTCGTGCAAAATGCGATTTTCTCTCCACGCACAGGCGCGTGTGAAGGAGGCTTTCCACGCGCCGTCAAAGTTGACGAACTCTGCCGTTAAAAAAAAAAAAAAATTTGACGATCTCAGTGGAGCCCGTTTAGTTCGCTGATTCGAGTTTTTAATTCGAATTAAGATGTGATGTTATGTGAGAGCTTTTTACTGTAGCAAAAAAGTTAGTGTGACTGTTTCTGAGAGCTTTTTACTGTAGTAAAACTCGAATTCTAAACTCGAGTCGGCGAAGTGAACGGGGCCTCAGTTAACCATCCACATTTCGGACCCTCCAACGTTGTAGTAAATCCGTTAAAAGACTAGGCCCCAAGGAGACATTTAATACAAGTAGCTAACTCGGTAAGTTCATATTATCATGTTAACTCGGTTTGCAGTAGCTAAGGTCTACGGACATTAATTCTAACACAATGAACATATGTACATAGATAATGAAGATGTATTGTTGTTTAGGTTTAGTATATGTATTCTGTAATGTTATATATATATATATATATATATATAATTTTTTTCTTTTTTCTCTACGGGTCAGTTTCGGGTTTGAACCCAAATTTGACACGAAATTGAATTGCGGGTCAATTTCGGGTCACACGGGCCCAACCCGAAAACGACCCGTTTTGTTCGTGTCAATTTCGAGTCGACCCGATTCCGACCCGCACCCCATTTTCCTCAACCCTAACCCATAATTTTCGTGTCGATTTCGATTCGTGTTGTCGTGTCGTGACCCGTATTGCCGCCCCTAACCGGCGGTACCATATGTTAGATGGGCAAATTAGAGATTAATTGTCTATAAATCTCTTATACAAATATAATAACTAATTCCAACTCTAGAGGTCGTTTTTGTATCACTCTGTACCATAATGTGAACATTATTTAGGCAAATCACAGTTAAATTTGTCTATGAAGCTCTTATATTCGAATAATAATGAATTCCAACTCTAGCCGTGGTATCATGTTATTCACCAAATTCTTAGGATAAAATGCTTTCATAGGCCAACAAGATCTAGAGCCAAAATCATGCGTGCTCTTGAGACTACAATGTGATGCCAAAATGGCCATACCTTCTTTTGCTCTTCGGTCTCCTTCTCCGTAGCACAAAGAAAACCCCTTATGTGTTACGCAAACAATTCTCCAAAAACTTTTTTTTTTTTTTTTTTTTGAAATGAAGAAAAACTTTCTCATGTACTTGAAATACATTAAACGGGAAACGGAAACAGAAACTCCAAAATTCCAAAACCAAACAAACTCGAGGCTTTACTTTCTCTATAACTAACTACTAGGACATGAGAGAGAGCCTCAGGACCCTAACTATATCCGTGAGAGAAACAAGCCCAACAAGCAAACCCTGAGAATCCACGACCCAAACTCGGTGAACATGGTGAGTGACTGCCTTGTCAATCACTTCTGCAAGAGATGATTCAGCTTCACAACTCACAATCTCCCTCCTGGGATTCCCACCAGTACTACTTTGTTCTGCAAATAAAGGGCTCGTCCACACTGTTTCAGTGAACTCTAGAGCACTCAGTGGCAACCATGATTTCAGTGTCGATAAGTGACACCCCCTCAGATCGGTCGAAGAAAACGTCCCTAGAACCTCCCTACCTCTTCCCTGCAATTGCAGTATATAACAAATCATCATAGTATTAAGAAACCACTAAATTAAAAATGAACTTTTTAATCACATATCTTCTAAAATTTCCCCTTTTAATCACTATATATATAATTACTATGCATTTACACGCACAAATTTTAATTTGGGGTGACTAAAACCTTTAACCACAAAAAAAAGAAAAAAAAAAGCTTCCGTGACTTAATATTTTCTTCACACCAAAAATTTATAACTAAACGCACACTTAGTTACAAACTTACGACTAAGATGACATTTAGTCATGCAAAATATTGCAGGACTGAAAGTGTTACAAGATGTTATAACTACAAGGTGTTTTTTTTTTTTTCTTAAATAATAATTAACACATTAACGACTAATAAGCTCTTTTTTAATTTATTTATTCTAGAGAAACGTACATTTATAAGCTGCTTGTGATCTTCTTCACGGATATCTGTGGCTCTTACTATAGGAACAGCGTTTAGCAAGGCAATCCTCATGGACTTGATGGCATCTATAACTTTGGTGCGATGACTTATCGCGAAAACGTTCTCAGTAATTGCTCCCAAATCCATGACGGAAGTCGATTGGTGCGATGACTTATCGCGAAAACGTTCTCAGTAATTGCTCCCAAATCCTTGACAGAAGTCGACGTTATGCTCTGAATCTCCGAATCGCGTTCCTTCAAAAACCTTAACACATCCATTTGTGTTACCATTTGATATGTTGACGCAGACTCTACTAGTTCCACGCCAGAGACGTTGTCCATGTGGCTGTCTAGTGGCACTAGAGCACGGTGGATTCCTTTGCTGAAAACTTCCATACAGTCTAGTAGGCTGCCAAATAGGTAACAAAATACACACACATACATGATCTATACAGAAATTATAGTAGATAACAGCTTTCAAAAAATAATGTAATAACTTTAAAATTAATGGTAATAAATAGCAGATTTCATGCTCTACTGAAAAATAAACTTAAAAGTAAATGACATATGTCAGGACTTTTCTTAGTTGGCAAATTTGTTGGCGAAAGGTTGTATGAATTCAAAAAAACTGGTTCTGGCTTTTGGTGTTGTGGTCAACTTAGTTGCTTGGGATTTGCAATGATTTTGCTGATTTGGAATGGTGGCTGATTTTGTTGACTTCAGCTGATTGATTGGCCCTGTTTATGGAAAGATCCGAGGAGGAAGAACTTGCCCTGTAGAGGGCGATGATGCTGCGGATGATGATTAGCGAAGACTATTCTGAAAAAGTGTGTTGTGTGAGATGAGTTTTTGAGAGAAATATTCTGCAGAAAAGTGTCTCTGATATGTGTGCTCGAGTGATAATCTTGAAGGTTGCTCTTTGGATGTGAAAGATTGTTTTTTCGGAAAGAAGCTTTACTAAGGCAAGTGATGCTAACTGAACAAGGCCTATAAAAAGATTCGACACAACAACGTGTCAAGAAAGGAATTTTTGAGTGCGTAAGAACGTAAAAACGTCTTGGTGCTTGTAATCTTTTGATCTTAGTGGAAGTGAATGGTTTACTGTCTGACCCCGCCGACAGGATGTTCAATGTGCGCATCGGATGATATCTGAGTGTTTTTTACGTTTCTGCACTATTATTCTCTACTCTACTTTTCTGTTCATTTATTCACTGATTTCTGAATCCGAAAATTCAACAAAACGTCAGTGTTAGTGTTACAAAAAGTGTTATAACACTAACACCTGTATAAAAACAGGCCTTTCAACATCTATTGAAAGGAAATAGCTATAGTGATTACGGAACAATTCTGTCTGGGAAGGAGAATTGAAACAAGCATTTTCGAGATTTTTTATTTTTCTTTTATTTTTTAAAGATATGCATTTGATTCTATAGCTCGAAACTCATGTAATTTATTTTCATTCTCCACTGAAAACGTTTTGAGTTATTTCTGTCTTTCTTCCTGTATACACACATATATAAATGAACAAAAGTACAACACTAATGTACAACTTACCTAGTATTTGGGTTTAAAGTCCACAAACTGAGACCCTCCAGGCAATGTCCTATGATCGCCGACACCTCGACTGACATTTTCCGATCAAGATCCGAGCCATCACCCCCGTCCATCTCGTCGTCATTAGCATCAGCAATGTGTGCCAAGATGTCTAGCATGGTGACCATCCCTATGTAATGTTTCCTTACGGTCCCCGTTTGCTTGTCCGCTTCCATGATCATAGAGCCACCGGCTCCGATCCAGTGTCCCGGCGGCGCCGCCACCGGCACCGCCACCACCCGGTTGGCCACCAGAGCGTTCATGGTGTGGGCCAGGGACGCTGTGTACGGCACCTCTACTAGCCTACGCTTGTTGTTCTGCATCAAGTCCTTCACCTTCTTGTCTCTTAGTCGTTGAGCTTCTGGGGAGTGCTTAGTGGCGATAGTAGAGGAGTGAAACACTCTTGATTCTTGCATGTTTTTTCGGTATTTGGTTGAAGAAATAAATTTGAGATGAAGATAAATGTAAACTTTCAAAAGTGGAGATAGATATAAGAAGGCGTTTCTTGATCTGATGCAAAGCATATATTGGTTATGAGATATAGATGGCTATATGGCAGTTTGATGTGTTTATACGTGTCCAACAACAAAGTGTTGTGGCATTGCATGGCTTGTGACAAGTTTGCCACATGGCGATGGCTGTAAAGGAAGGGTGTTATACGTGGATGTTCTCAGGGGGGGCATTTTGCGTCTTTTTCTGTGGCGCATATTATTCGAATTCTGTAGTACAAAAAAAAAAAAAAAAAAAAAATAAAAATTTTAGAATTTTAGCCGTCCTCGACTAACATCTTCCGATCAAGATCCGAGCCATCACCCCCGTCCATCTCGTCGTCATTAGCATCAGCAATGTGTGCCAAGATGTCTAGCATGGTGACCATCCCTATGTAATGTTTCCTTACGGTCCCCGTTTGCTTGTCCGCTTCCATGATCATAGAGCCACCGGCTCCGATCCAGTGTCCCGGCGGCGCCGCCACCGGCACCGCCACCACCCGGTTGGCCACCAGAGCGTTCATGGTGTGGGCCAGGGACGCTGTGTACGGCACCTCTACTAGCCTACGCTTGTTGTTCTGCATCAAGTCCTTCACCTTCTTGTCTCTTAGTCGTTGAGCTTCTGGGGAGTGCTTAGTGGCGATAGTAGAGGAGTGAAACACTCTTGATTCTTGCATGTTTTTTCGGTATTTGGTTGAAGAAATAAATTTGAGATGAAGATAAATGTAAACTTTCAAAAGTGGAGATAGATATAAGAAGGCGTTTCTTGATCTGATGCAAAGCATATATTGGTTATGAGATATAGATGGCTATATGGCAGTTTGATGTGTTTATACGTGTCCAACAACAAAGTGTTGTGGCATTGCATGGCTTGTGACAAGTTTGCCACATGGCGATGGCTGTAAAGGAAGGGTGTTATACGTGGATGTTCTCAGGGGGGGCATTTTGCGTCTTTTTCTGTGGCGCATATTATTCGAATTCTGTAGTACAAAAAAAAAAAAAAAAAAAAAAATCTAAACTTTAGTCATTTAGTCGCTTTGTCCTCTAAATATTAAAAACTGAAACTGATCTATTTATCTCTTAAACTAATTGTTAATAAAAATGTCTTTTATGTTACCTTCCGCAAACTTAAAACTAACGCGGCACTTATTTAGAGAATAAAAACTTATTTTAAATTGAAACTCTAATCGTTAAATAACTTAATGACAAAAACCTTAATTATGCCTCTATTAAATAAAAATATTCCTTTACAAAGAAATATATTTTTTGAAAAAAAAAAAAAGAAATTTATTAGTAGAGGAGTAATTTCTTCCCTTCCGACAACGGCCGCCAGCTTCAAATGCTTCAGTACCGGACCTCTAAATCCCAGCATTTGAATGCTTCGCCTCCAACACCAAAACGTCTAACAACAGAAACAAAAATGAAAAGGAAACTAAATGAGGTAACCATTGCAGAACGACGGCATCACTTGCCAAAAAAAAAAATAATTTGAAAGCGCAGATTTGTAACCGTGAGGTAACTTCGGCTAAAAATTGGCTTTCACAACTTTTTGCTCCATTTCTTTGGCTTTCCTTGCTTCTAACTTTGATTAGGCTCCACATCTTTAACAATTTCCCACTTAAAAGACTAATCAACCATCTTCAACGTCTTCATTGCGGTGGCACCGACTCCTCAATCCTCAGAGAGAAGTCCAACTGAAGTTGTGCGCAACTTCAGTTTCTCGATTGGAACTGTCTTGGTCAACATATTTGTCGGATTCTGACTCCCAAGAATTTTCTCAAAGTACCAACATCCCATTTTCCAAAGCCGATCTAATGAAGTGATATATATGCTTAGTCCTAGCATCATGATAAACAGAATTTTTTGCTAAATGAATGGCGCTCTAACTATCACAATGCAACACGCTCTTCCCCTGTTTGTGACCCAACTTCTCCAAGAAAGACTGCTACCACACCATCCCCTTGCTTGCTTAAGCCACTGCTATAATCTATTACCTTCTGTAGCTACTTTTGCATACCATTTATATTTGCATATATAACAAAAGTAAAAGGCCATCATCAAATGTGGTTCTTGGTGTTGTTTGCGAAGCCTATTTCTAAATTTTGTCTCTCTATTTTTTTTGTTTGTTTTAATTTCACATAACGTTTGATATCTTCCCCAATAAAAATATTAGTTATATCCTCTTTAATAAAAGAAAAAAATAGATATATATCCAAAAAAGATATAGTAAATATTATAGTATGTTTGAAGTGTCATTTGAGTGTTAATACTCTTGCAGATTCTTCGGAGCTGATCTTGGAGGAATTCTTAATTTATAGAAATTTTTTGGTAGCTATATTTTATGCATGGTGACTAAAAGCAAACCTTTTTTATGCATGGTCGCTAAAAGAAAACCCCAGGATTTCCAATCAAATCTTAGTCTTGGAGACCGAATTAGGTAAGGGACTATAGCCCCCTGGCCCCTGCCTAGCCAAAGTAAGCACCTGCCCATCGTATGCAGGTGTAGTTGCTAGTTTGCGCCTGCTCTTCATTGCGCACTATGGTAAGGCAGTTTCAAGGCTGGCAGGTCGAGGCCTGCGCCGTGGCTTGGCCTTGCCACACTGGTGGCCACGGTTAAGAACCCCTAACCTGCCAACCAAACAATTATTTTTGGAAATTTGTTAAGTTGCTCGATTGTCAGCAATTCGAAGAACCCTTGAACGACAAAGGATTGTTGATGGCTCGTACCAGAAAGGGCTAGAGTTTGGAACGCCACAAGTACTAATATAGGCATATCAAAGCTCACATTCGAAGCGAAGCAAATTTGTTTTCCTGACGTAAATAAAATTATCAGAGAAAAGAACATTGAAGAGACAAATCAAAGAGAACAAAAGCAGTTGTAATCTTCCATTACTATGAACTGTTTTTTTCGTATACGAGCGAGGCAATGTAAACAAAATTTGCCCTCATGACACTTAGCTATAATCTCCGCATCCATACTAAGTTCGATGGTATAAAGCCCCAGTGCTTAGTTCTTCAGCAAAAAAAATACAGTTCTTTGGTATAAACGCCACTGTACGCCACCCCTTTTGTACACACGTATGGAGGAAATTCCCACAAGACTTGATCACTAGTTCATATGACTATGGAATACATACTATCTACAACGAAATTGGAGGTTCAACAAGGTGGTTGATCCACACTGGTCCCGGAGTTATCATCAGGACGTCATTGATCAAAAGAGCCAAAACCAGGACTTTGTTGCTCACGAGAGCCAAAACCAGGACTTCCTCCAACAACCTCATCATGCGTTGCAGTGGCTAATCCAGAGGCAATAACATCAAGGGGTCTCTGCAAGATAAAGAATGCATTTGAAGAGCGAATTGTTTATGTTTTGAATTGCCCAAACACATTTGTGAAAAGAAATTCACCTTCCTGGAGGTAACCGGACTCTTTTCCATGGAACGCAGAAGCTGAAGACCACCAGCATTTGCAAGCACTTTAATACCATCCTCGAGCGTTGAAACTGCTAGCAGAGTCCCTCCCTTGTTAAATCGTACGCAAGGACGAGACTAACAGATAACAAAAATGTGAGGATAAATGGATAACTGAGTACCAGGGTGTGGAAAATTGTGAATGGATTGCTTACCGGCAATCCACCAGTGGCGAAGGAATAGCTCAACTGTTTTACACAGTCCATGTTCCAAAACTTGACTTGGAACTCATCACCAGCAGCCAAAATCCGATTGTTGGCAGTGTCAAACTGCACGACACCTGCAGACCTCCTTCGAAGACCTCGATACATGCGCTTAACGCCCCCACCTTCTTTATGATCCCATTCTACAAGATAGGAATCTCCATTGCTGACTGTTCCGCAGAAGAACAACCTGTGACGGTGGCAAGCAAAGCAATCAATGACATTGTTCAGATACTAAAAGAACAAGGACCATATAGAATAATAACTACCTTGTACCATCAGCACTGCGTGCCATCCTTCCCCAAGATGGACATGCGTCGCAAGTGAATAACTTTGTACCATATATCCATGCATGGATTTTCCCATTAGTGTCCACTGAAAAGAGGTACTGGAGCAGAGAAAGGGAAAAAGATAAAAGATAAAATAAATAACTTCAACAGAACAGTAAATGGTTAAAAAACCAATAAAAGAAAAACTCAGGTGCTAATAACAGCAATTGAATACCTGCTTTCCATCTTCATATGGGCACACAGAATAAACTGGTGCTTCATGACCCACAAAATTATAAACTAGGGAAAATCTCTCATCAGTAAGAGCCATCCACATCTGCACAAGTGGGATAGTTAGCATTACTACATTCCATGGCCTAACCATCAACATGAAGGGAAATTTCGTAATATAGCAATTACCCTTATAGCGTTGTCCTCTCCACAAGTTATGATGCATAATGATTTGCTTTGGTTAGAGAAAGAAATGTCATATACATTGCCAAAATGGGCATCGATCTGTTTGAATATCATGAAAATTAAAGTATTATGTAATGACACTTAAAATAATTTAACATTTATTTGATAATTCGTGGTAAAAAATAAATAAAACAATGTAAAATACCTCTATATATTTTGTTAAAAAATCAGCATTGTAGGAATATATGTGCACAAGATGCTTGGAATATGCAACTCCTAACATATATAAGTTTGAAAAGGAAACATTGAGTATAGCATCTTAAGGACCTCGTCATGAAACTGAAATAATAATTGCATCACATCTATAGGTATTATCTTTGCTCAAGTCCAGCAACTTTGGTCACCTTCAAAGGAAAATAAGGACAAATTATTCAATTAATCTAAAGCATTACCGAAAAAATCACCATCAGGATTCCAGATAACACGGTTTACTGATGCCGTTTGATCACCAGAAAAAGATGTCTTCCAATAGGTAAAAAGAGAATATAATTAGTCTTAAGCTTGGTAAAACATCATCATAACACGGTTTACTGATGCCGTTTGATCACCAGAAAAAGATGTCTTCCAAGAGGTAAAAAGAATATATAATTAGTCTTAAGCTTGGTAAAACATCATCCAGATGTAGAAGAAATACCAACAAGATACACAGGACTAAACCTGAACACTTAATGAACATGCCCCAATGTCCCAAATCTCAAAAGGTTGACAGACAAGCCACTCCGTTTCCCCCATGTCCCAGATAGAGATATCACCATTAGCCGATCCAACTATAATTTGAGGGAACAATAGAAAAAGACAAGCAGAAAATGAACTCGAAAGTAGAATCTTTAAGCAGTTTTGTCTAACGGGAAAAAATAAAATAATATAATAAAAGATTCTTTTTAAGCATCCAGAGCAAACCAAGAAGTAAAGTTTGTTGCAAAGGATGAAAATCCAAGCTCTGTACTTGAGAACCCTGGTAGAACTCGACAATAGTAGTCTGCGGCAAGGCATCATGATACATAATTATTGTGTGAGAGAAAATGAGTTCCCTGGTAGAACTCGACAATAGTAGTCTGCGGCAAGGCATCATGATACATTTCAGGTGAAACATTGACTGCTGAACTATCGACCTGCAAGAGGGGGAAAAAATAGAATAGCAAAATTAGTTGTTTCCCTTTTTCCTCTCAAACAGAATTTGCGAAGGAAAAATGAATAGAATTTACACAATCAACATTTCCCAAGAGAACCAGAAAAGGAGGCATTAGGCAAGATCCTTAATCCGGTACCTTTTCCACTGTCCCAGCAAGTCTTCGTCTCTTATGTGGTGGTCCACGAACTGCAATTCGATTATCCACTGATAGTGAGAGTTCTAGAGCACTTTAGCATTGTTGCACATGCAAGCAAAGAAAACAATCTAGAAATAATGATAAAACAACCAAAAAGTAACTTTTGACACAACAGAGATAATAGGTAGAACCAAAGCAGCTCAATGAAACCACTACCTTCAATTGCAGGAGCGTTTAGATTGGACGGCTGAGCAGTAACTGCTTTGTGTGGCACAGAGGATGGACCTGGCATAAATCCTCCAACACGTATCTTAGGAAATGCTAGTGCAGGCTGAAAAGGCTGAAAGGGATAATTAATTAAACAGATAAATAGGTAGCAGAATAAGATTCCTTTAAACTAATTTCTTCATCAGCCAAAGTTCTAGGTTTTGTATTGGCTTACAAAAGTAGGATTGGAGCTCAGGTTTGGAATAGAGACAGGAACCGAAGCAATAAGATATGTGTTCTGCATTGACATCATAGGCATCATAAGAGACGCTGGTGCGGGCTGAAATGGCATCAAAAGGAGCAAAATAAGATTCATTCAGTTCAAACTATTTTCCTTATCAGCCAAAGATCTATGTTTTTTGTTGGCTTACAATTGTAGTGTTGAAGCCTGCTAAAGGGTTCGCCGTAGAGAAAGCAGAAGCAATAAGATTGCTGTATTGTGTCTGCATCATAGGCATCACAGGAGATGCTGGTGGAGGCTGAAACAGTACAAAAGAAGCAAAATAAGATTCCTTCTGACTAGTTTACCCATCAGCCAAAGTTCTATGTTTTGAATTGGCTTCCAATAGTAGTATTGGAGCCTGTTAAAGCAGAACTAATGGCATCAGTAGGCATCACAGGAGGTGCTGGTTGAGGCTGAAATGGCACCAGTAGTAGCAGCATAAGATTCCTTCAAATTAGTTTCATCATGAAAAGAAAAAAAAAAAAAAATCTCTGTTTTGTATTCACTTACAACATAAGAACCACCTGGTCCGACTAGAGGGTTAGCCATTGGGTTGTTTCCATAACTACAATTTAGCAAACATTACATGAGAAGAAGCTTGCAATGAATTAGAACTTGACATCATCATTAAAAATTTGAAAACTAAATAAACAGCTTTACCTCTGATTCACGGGTGTCGTCTGCTTTGAGTTATCTGAATTGCAAAATTCAGGCTTGCGACATAAAGAAGCATAATTCGCACTCTTTTGTTTAAGTGTGCGAAGCAGCCCAGCCCTGGCAGACTCGGCATTACCATAAGTAGATAGCTTTCCATTCTCCCTGAAAACAAACCATGGAACTATAATATACGAAATATATGAAAAACAATCATGTGAACGAAGCATCTTTTTTCCCGACGTCCAGTAATTTTCAGCGGCAAATCTTTACTGATGTCCACAGTTATCATACTTCCACATTTGTACAAGACCGCTAAAATTTTTATTTCCTTAAATAAGGCTTAAAAAAATTACTCACTTTACTATTTTCATTGTAAGAGACGAAATTTTTGTCAATTCTTCTGCTAACAGTACTCTGCTACTCTTAATAGTAGACCCTAAACTTAGTTTAGAGAAAAAGAAAAAACAAGAAAACAAAAACAAATCAGACAACATAAGACCTTATGAATTTCGAACGTACCTGAAATCGTCTAAGGTCAGAAGCATTGTGAGTTCCTTGAAAAGATCTTGATCATATCGGGCAAAGAATTTCAAATCCTTCTTAAGAATATCCATAGCATTGGGAAAGTCTTTCCTGCACCAAGACAGTCAAAACTTACTTACCAAGAAATGTCAGGAACCCAAAAATACAGAAAAGAAATCGCAAAGAATTCAATTTACCTCTCGAGCGCCTCAAAATATTTTTGTTTTCGAATCTCAAAGAAGACCAGCACTGACATTGATTCTTGATCAATCTTAACAAACCCAGATAAGTACTTCTCCACCTTGTCCCACTCACCATTAGTCACACAAGCCTCGAAATGCTTCTCGTCGAATAAAACCTCATAATTTTTCTCCAAACTTCGTTGCCAAAAACACAATCCGTCATAAAATTTCCCAAAAAGGAACAAACTTTTTTCAGTTCTTAAGCAAAACGAAAGACGAAGAAATAAAGAAATGAAAGAAAAGGAATGGAGAAAGAGGGAAAACTGCTTACTTTTGCGGAGCTTCTTCTTTAATTTCCCTCCTCTGATCTCCAACACCCGAGCTCTCTATATCATCCGCCATGGCTAGGGTTTCTTCAACTTCCCCTCCAATGTAGAGCCGTTGTTACCGTTGTTGTCTTGGCCTTTCAATTCAAGTCCTCAATTTCTTTCTCGCAATGATCCATCTACGGGAGAAACAAAAGAACAAAGATGGAATTTTGTTCGATTCTGGAAACATAAGATTTTGAATTTGATTCAAGAAGAATAACGAGGGAAAGGCGAAGGAATGAATGGGTTTTGCTTTTGTTACTTTTGATTTTCCCCCTCTTTTTGTTTGCGACGTACGGTAGTGCAGAAGCCAAAGTCCCAAAGCCACTGGAGGAGAATTTTGTGGGAGCGCGTGTTAAGCTTATTGTGAAATTGTTCACAAGTGTCGTGTCGTGTATTTTATTTTATTTTTTTTCCGTCTTTTGAGGGATGTATAGTAATTTTTTCATGGCACAATATATTAAGGGTGATTTTGAGGAATGCCCCTAAAAAGTAGAGCATTGGATTTATGCCACTTAAGAAAGCTTTGGATTTTAGTCACATAAATGCATCAAGTCCCGTTTAATTTGTTGGTTCAAATTTTATTAATTTAATCTTTTTTTTATTTAAATAAAAAAATTTAAACTGCGTGTTTTAAATTGTAGTTAGAATTAATATTTAGATGTGCAGTTAAAATTTAAATATGAACAGGAAATAAAATTTAAATTTGTGTTTGGTAGATGTCAAAGGCAGAAAGAATCGATATCGTTTTACTGTTAAAAAATGATTTAATTGGTTGAATTTAAGGGGGAGTTACATTGTAAGTTGGACAATTTAAGCCCCCGTTTGTTTCACTGGTTCAACTCAGTTCAACTCAATTCGAACAGTGAGCACAGTTTAAATTCGTGTTTGGTAAGCACGCAGTTCGAATTATATTTCTTGTTTGAACTGAGTTAAACTGTCTAACTTAGAGTTTAGGTCCCCCTTAAAATCAACCATTCAAACCATTTTTGAACAGTAAAAAGTTGTCCACTCTCTCTGCTTTTCAAATCTGCCAAACACAAATTCGAATTTTATTCCCTGTTCATATTAAAATTTTAACTTCATATCCAAACACCACTTCGAACTACAATTTGAATTTTTTTTGTTCAAATAAAAAAATTTGAAATCAACAAAATTCGAACCAGCGAACCAAACGGGAGCTAACTCAGTTTAAATGGTGAGTATAATTCAGACTGCGTACTTATCAAATACGAATTCAAACTGTACTTACTGTTCAAATTGAGTTGAATTAAACTAAACTAGTAAAACAAACGAGGCCTAGATAAAGGTCAACTACATATGTTTTAGGATAATTTTGATAAATACCCTTTGAAAGTGTATGTGTCATGATTTTTATCCTTTATTCTTGATTCATAATCTTTTTAGTCAAATAATTGCACTAACAAAAGGGTATTTATCAAGAGTATGTGATAAAAGTTTAAACTCATGTCCTCTCCTCTTAAGAGTAAATTTTACAATTTTCTCTTTGTTTTACCAAAATTCCCTACCGGTCAAAAAGGTAAACTACAAAACTACCGCAGCCTGTGTTGATAAGCTGCCAGACGCAGTTAGATAGTTGTTGGTGCTAAATTTAGCATGCCTAAATCTTCTAATCGAGCCCAAGGTCACAATCGAGCCCAACACCAAGACAATGGGTCACCAAGTTCAAATAGTACATGGGAGGCCGAACGAACGAGCCCAATCAGTCGAGGGAATTGTGTCGATTCACCGAGTCTCAACTCTAAAAGGTGCTTTTAGTTGGAGTGAGGAATGAAAATAAGAATATGATGATAATAGAATAAAATAAAAAGGAAAGTTGAGTTTTTTGTTTGATTAGATTTTTACAAATACAATGGAATGGATTTCACATGAATTTAGTTAGACAAAATTACTCTCACTTTTAGATTACAGATTAACAGTCCATCAAAGAACTGTTTTTGTTCAGACATGGATGGACTTGTTTTAACCCCAAACCCCCCCATGAAGTCATGAAACTCTTGACTTCATCAATAGTCACTTTTGGAAAGTCCAGACCACACAAAAATCTGTGAAACTAGCTCCAATAAAGTCCACCCGTAAGTTATGCAATCAAAAATCTTGATGGCAAGAATATAAATTAGTTAGCTTTTTACATTTCTATTGAGGTCATCAATCAATTTTGTTTAACATTGGAAAGAAAATATATAAATGGTGACGAGGAGTTACAGATCTGGCCAGAAGAAAAGCCAAACGCCGGGATTTTGGTAGAGATCAACCACAACATTGCTCAGGCAGAAAACCTCACTTGGGCAAGGGGTAGATCCGGCGAGGTGCAACGCTCGAGCGAGGAATTTGACAGATAAAGTGAAGGTGGTGCTTGGGTGAGAGGGAACAGATCTAGCCGGGCCGGCGAGAGTTGTCAGAGGAGCAGAGGTAGGGGCGAAGGTTGGCATAAGAGGAGATGATGGGTTATGCCATTAGTCGGAAATGATGAAGTTGGAGGCTTCCAGATAAAATACAGAGAGAGTAATAATGGAAAATATAGATAAATGCCGATTGGAATGGCCATTCATCCTACCCCACAAAGGAATGACAATTCCTTTAAAATGAGCAAAAAGTCATTCCAATGGAATGATTATTCTGAGAATAAAATCCAACCAAACACACGACTTGCATTCCTTTCTTTTCCTTTCCTTTCCATTACCTCTAACCAAACGCACCCTAAAAGCTGTATTTGAATCTCTTTACCGCTGGAGTCGACGTATCAAGTGAGAGTATCGATTTTTGACGGCTCCATGCTGATAACCGCTCATATCCATTATCCGCAATCTCAACTGGCAGAGAATAAATAGGGCACGTGCTGATGTTTACGTAACTCCAGTCTTCCCACTACTAGTGTCTTTCGACCATGATTAAGCCCACGATGGAAGAACGAAGACCCAAGGACATCTATAAAAGGGGCCTAAAGCCTCCAAAGAAGGGTTTCCCGAATTCGATACTTGTATACTGAATTTGAAAGTTTAAGAGGTGGAGAGGCCTTGTAACCACCGGGAAACATCCTAGATTTGTACTTTGGATTCTAGATAGTGAAACTCTCATCTGTACAATGAACGTAGCTCTAATTAAAGTAAATCACTGTAAATATCTAGTGTTATTTATTTTTTTAGTATTTGTTTTTTATTTGCTAATACCATTGTCGTTGGTGTATATATTTCCAGAAAAGAGGAACCCAACTTACTTTGTTGTAAACTTGTTTAATCCTCAACAACAGTGATTAAAGGCCCAAAACCTGAACTCAAATAGTTTCTAGCTGATTTCACATGACTGTAGTAAACCAGGTTCTACAGTTTGGTGCCTACCCTAGGGCCTTTGATCGCCAACTCGGAGGATTAGCAAGCAACCATGACGCACGACCGCGAGGGCCGTCAGGGTCAGGATCTTCAACAAGCATAGCAAAACGGAACTCTGCAGCAACCGCTGTCTAAATTTGAGAATTTAAAGAGGCTCCTTAGCGAAGTGACCGCTCGACAGGAAGAAATGGCTGCCCAGAACACAACGCTCCGCCACCAAGTTGCAGCGCAGTCGTCTCAACTGTCGGCATACTACCATTACTACAACCAGACCTACACAACAAACGTCGTCGCCGGTCCGAGCGGAGCAGGTCAGCAAAACCAGGACACCATACGCCGACACAAGCACAGTCTCATCAAGCCGATGCAACAATTTGACACCCCAGGGAACGAGGGGATTCAGCGGGACACCAACAAGCCCGTCGAGCAAGTGCCGGTGCTAAGAGCAACAACACAAGATGTTCAACAGGCAGACAACGCACCCCTAACCCTTCGAGGGGTTCGATCGCTATTCAACAATTTGTTCGCCGAAAATATGAGACACGTTTGGAACTTGTTCTAAAATTATTTATTTTTTATATGAAAATGAAAATAAAAACGTATTCAATCTCAAACATAAATCATTTTTAAAAATGTGTTTGATAGTTTTATTAGGAAATTATTTTTAATGTAAAAAAATTCATTAATATCTATCTTTCTCTGTTCGAAAGAAGAGAAAACGGAAATAAAAAATAAAAAATAACTAAAAGTTATTTTTTATTTTTTTCTTATTTTATACTAAATTAAAAAATTATTTTTATTTTTATTTTTTATTTTTATCACGCCAAACACTGTTTTAAGAATATTTTTATTTTTTTTCTAAAAAATGTAAAAAAATACAAATAGAATCAATTCTAAACAAAGACCCGACCAGCGAGTCGACATGCGAGTAGAAAAGGCGAGTAGCTCCATTCCCGCTATCGAAGACATAACGAAGGTTGCATGGGGTACACAACTGTCGGAGTGGATTTCCAATATCGTGCCACCCAAGTACGGATCTGTCAGCTTTGATAAGTTCGACGGAACATCCGACCCAAATGAGCACCTTCTGCAGTTCAAAATTGTCGTCTTTCCGACGCCTATCCCAACTGGGATCGTCAACGAGATGATGTGTAAATTGTTCGCCCAAAGCTTGAAGGGACTGACCCTCAGATGGTACAGCAATCAGCAACCTCAGTCGATTGATAGCTTTGCCGACCTATCAGATGTCTTTATTACGAATTATGCAATCGACATCGAATCTGGAAAGACGACGAAGGATCTCTGGGGGGTCGTTCAACGAGTCGGAGAGCCGCTGAAGTCATACATCGACAGGTTCAACGTGGCCCTGTCAAAAATAACGGGGCTCGACGATGGAGCGGCGAGGGAGGCACTGAAGAAAGGGCTGCTCCACAAGTCCAAATTTAAGGATAGCATATGCTCTGACTATCCAAAATCGATCAGAAGCGCTCTCAACAGGGCTAAAGGCTTCATTGACCTTGAAGAAGAAGATCTCCAAATCGAGTGGGAACTCGCTCGTTCAAGGGAACAGAACAGGGACCCAGCTAACCGTCAGACAAGGCAGGACTGGAGGGATAGATCTCGACTGATGAGAAGAGAGTCGAACCAAGATGACAGATCAAGGAAAGAGTATAAGAGGCCGTTGTCACCCCCTACATGGGCACTACATGGTCGATTGCAAAGCTTTAAGGGCCGAAATAGTTGAGTTGCTGAAAAAAGGCCATTTGTGAGAGTTCCTTAGCGAATGAGGTAAGAAGACATGTGGGTTCGATGCCCAGCGAGGTTTTCAGAAAAGACCAGCAAGTGATCGAACCCCACCTCCACCACCGGTTCGGAAGGTTATCGGTGTCATAATTGAAGGATCAACCATAAGTGGCGAACCCGGAGTGCAGTCAAATCTCATCCGCGAAAAGCTTGCCCGTTCTTCCAGGAGATTCAGTCGAACACTCAATAACATTTCATAGCAATGAAGCGATGGCTTTGGACCGCCCACATGACGATGCCCTGGTAATCACGCTTAATATAGCCAACTGCGAGATCAGCCGAATATTAGTCGACGGCGGGAAGTTCTGTGGATATTCTCTTCCTTTCGACCTTGCGTGATATGGAAATCGACGAATCAAACATCGAAACCTCCAACACGAGCCTTTGCATTTTGGAGAAGAGTAAGAGTTTCTTCCCTTAGTCCTCTTTTTTCTAGTGTCAAGAATTGTTTCTAATCAAATTCTTCTTTAGTTTCAAATGTCATGAAAGAATTTACACTACATGTTATTGATTGATTGAATCACGAATCTGACATTAACATAACCAAATCTGAAGAGAATAATATAAAGTACACCATACATGCGTGGTGGTATGTGTTCATGAAAACATAACACAATAACACGGACCAGAACCAAGAGCAAAGCACACAGAAAATAAGTAAATGCACCAACAATCAGAAACAGAGAATCAATAAAACAATCACACCAAGATTTAACGAGGTTCGGAGATTGAATCCTCCCACGTCCTCGGGTCAGGAGACTGCTTGTAAAGATCACTAATGGAGAATCACAAGTTTAATCTTGTTTGTCCTCCCCAAATCCATTATTTATTTAATGTATGACAATATTTAAGTATTCTTTTTTCTGTATGGTTAAAGAACAGACAGGCTTTGCAAAACATACCTCGTCCGCTACATGTCCTAGAGCAGCTTATAATTGTGTTGTACATCCATCAGCACAAACGTTAGAAAGCTCAAAACCATGTAGTTGAATCTAAGGGCTCTGCAAGGCATGTTGATATAAAATTAATATGTCGATCTATGCTAAAAGGTTAACATCATGACAATTGAACATCGTGAAAAACAGAATACCTTAATCTTGCAGAAATTTCTACTCCTCCAAGATCAATACTCTCCTTCTACAAGTGATTGTGATTCAAAAATCTAATTTTTGTATACAAAATGAGAGAAATTTAAATGAGATTTACACTTTTACTTAAAATAAAAAGAAAATAAGCAATCACTTTGCTAGATGTGCTCTTACTCTCCCAATATCCATCAATGTGATCCTAGAACAGGGTATGCATCATGATGAATTGATCTAGTGAGCCTGTCTGGAAATTTCCATCAAGTATCCTTTTATGGCTGCAAAAGTTCTTGGCCCTTGGCGACTTTAGTAGAGAAACGTACAAACATGCCCATGACAAACCTGAAGACTATAATTTGCCATTAACATATAATCTTGAAACCAAAGAAAATTTGGAAAATCCAAAAGTGAGGTATATGTAGAATTTCGTTTTCATGAGTTACCATATGAAAGAAATCACCCTGCAAGATCATCACAACGCATGAGTCTCCGCACATATGGCAAATACTTCTTCAGATTGGACTTGTGTATGCTAATGAGGCTAAAGTCAAAAGAAAATATCATAGTAAGAGAAGGTAATGTATTTTAAAAAAAAAAATAAGTGGGGATTATGAAAATACATATAGGCCACAAGCTAACACAAGCTTTTGAAGCAGAAACTAAAAATACGCAAATAAGATAAGAGCTGGAGTGAAATTACCAGAAAATGCTGGAGCGTGGTCCGCCTCATGGATCCAAGAGCTAAGCTTCATAACACTAGTTCCATGCATTTTTATGCTTCTGACGAGCTTGATTCGCTAGATGATGTTTCTTCATCGTCACTTTCGTCTTTCTGAATCCAAACACCATTTTTCTGCACGTACTTTTTATTGATTTGGATGTTTGGGACATGAGAAATCTTGTACCATTCCTTTCCAGTCCCTTTTTGGATATTTCGTTGCAAAATTTTAGATTTTTTGATGGATAAATTTTGCAATGGAGTCATTTGCAGGAACTCTGGGAGCTTTTCTAGGTTGTGACACTTGGTAATCTTCAAGGAGTGAAGACATGGCATTATTTTTGTCGGTGTCGTTGTTGTCGTGTTGTATCCTTCCCGCTCTTTCCACTCCTCATTCCAATCAAATTTAAGCTTTTTCAATCTCGGAAATGAAATAATGGATGGTTCGGATGGAGTATCTTGATCCCCTCTAGCTGCACCGTGATCTTCTTCTTCTCTTTCTGTAATTCCAAGGAATTCCGGACCCACCTTCTTCAAGCTATCCAAGCAACAAATAACAAGCGAAACAAGAGAAGGCATTTTTCCTAGTGGGGGTAAAATCTCACATTTTGTACAGAAGATTAGTTCCAGACTCGTCAAATTAGTTAGCGACATCATCCAAGTGGGGGACACAGTTGCACCAAGGTAGTCCGAGATTTCTAATGCTTTTAAGTTAGGATGTGGTTGCAAGGATTCCAGAATTTCAGTGTCATCATCAAGAATTTCTCCAATTTCATACAGCTCATCAGATTCTCTAAAACCCAGTGTCAAATCTAGAATATTTTGCCAACTCCTGAGATTTATCTTCTCAAACTCATCAAGATTCCCCGTGTTTGCGCACCTTTGAATGCTGAGAAAGCTTTGAAACTGAAGGTATTTCATCATTTTCAGATCTCCAAGATCAAGATATGTCGTTCTCTCCTTAGGCACCACCAACATATCTAGAGTTAGGAGACCAGTCAATTTTGCTATCCCTTTTGGCAGGCCCTCGAAGCAACAACCATAGATATATAGATTTTTTAAGTTAACCAGTTTCGCAATCTTCTCTGGTAGTCTTGGAAGTGAAGTGCAATTACACAATCTCAAAGTCTGAAGATTACACAGATTAAATAATGTGTCAGGTAATTCCTTCAAATTAGAGTTAAAAGACAAGTCCAGATATCTGAGATGTTTCAATAAACCAATATCCTCTGGTAAACTTTCAATGTTGCAGCTATACAAATTTAACGTCTGAAGCCGTGTCAGATGATAAAACAACAATATTCTATCAACATGTAGTTTGTTGGTGTTTGAGTAAATGTAAACTGTATGCAAATTCTTTGCATTGTGCCTTAAGGTAGGAAAATGGTCTTCAGATCCAACCACTAAGGTCAAGTGACGAGTGCTTTCATCTACTCCCTTTTTATTCTCTTCAATTCCATCAACTTCCATCAGAACATATTCACTACCCATCAAAAATTGAGCAAATTCATGAACTATGTCATGCATTTTGCAAGTAATGGCTCCATAGTATTCATCCTCTTCGAAATCTTGAAAAAATGACCGCATAGCTAAACTTTCAAAACAATCTCGTCCTTCTTTCTTGGAATTTATTGTTTGACCTAAATAACCTTGTGACATCCACATCTCGATTAAGTCATCTCTTCCAATATTATAATTTTTAGGAAATACCGAACAATATAAAAAACAACATTTTTACAAAGGAGGTAGATCGTAATAACTAAGTAGAAATGGAGCAAAAATTTCCCTAACTTTAACATCTTTCGACTCCCACAATTCACTGCACAGAATGTCCTCCCATTGACTTGTGGTCTTTCTGAAGCGCATGAGACTTCCTAAAGTTTTAGCAACAAGGGGCAAGCCACTTGATTTTCTTGCAATTTGCCTACCAATATTTTCTAATTATGCGCGCTTCTCTGTTGTTCCTTCCATGAATGCCAATTGGCTAAAAATTAACCAACAATGCTCTTCAGACAATCTTTCCAGACTAATCTGGTGTGTGGCTGCCCCCATCATGATCGAAACTTCTTGCTTTCGGGTGGTCACCAGTATCTTACTCCCTATAGCACCATTTTTAAGAGCTACATAAAAAGTTTCCCATCTACTGTAATCTTCAAGCCATAAATCATCTAGGATGAGAAGAAATCTCTTTCCCGCAACGGACTCATGAATGCAGTGCACTAAAGCATTCAGTTCGACTGAACTTGGAGCACTATTTCCGAGGCCTTCAATAATTGCTTTGGCAATCTTGACCTCCTCGAAAGGATCTGAGACGCACACCCAAATTCGCTTATCAAAGTGGGTCTTAATCGTCTCATCATTATAAGCTAGCTGGGCAAGAGTAGTTTTGCCAAGACCCCCCATCCCCACAATGGGGGTGATATCAAGGCGACTCCCATCATCACTGCTCTCACGCAACAACTTGCATATTAACAAACTCTTATCCTTATCTCGACCTTGAACTTTGGTTTCATCAATAAGGAAAGTAGTCTGTCGTCGCTCAGGTCGTTCAACGACCCTCTTTATGTTAAGATTGTATTTCTCTTTATCTTTTGCAATCCTATCCAGGTCTTGGTTCAGTTCTTTGATTTTGAGAGCAATGTCACGACGCAAAGTAAGTCGTTTGACTCTGGTAAAACAGAAGCAAGAAGAGGGCATAGGAAAACACACCTTCTTGTTTGATGAAGAAGCATTGTTTTCAGCTTCCTCTTCTTTCTTGATTTTGAATTCAAGAATGGCAGTGTTCCACTCGTCCAGAACATCATCCATGTCGTGCGTCGCATTTTTGAGCTTATCCAACCATCTCTTTAGACTCGCATCGTTCAGCTGCTTCTGCTCAGCATCCTCAAGCACTGCTTGAATGTCCTCAAGATTGGTCTTGAGGTTTGCAACATCTTCATCCACCCCTTTGACCAGCCTCACTTCCTCTTCAATCGGCTCAAGAGCCATGGAACCGAAATGCTCAATGAGTAATGAGACTAGAGCTTCAGCCATACTCAGATTCGGAGCTGTTTTCACAACGGCACTATACTTCTCTCTGTGAACGATTTAGTGGCAATGGAGGAATTTCTTGTGATAGATCTGGATATAAAAATGGATGTAGGAGTTAGGATAATATAAAGGCTAGCTGTAATTCAAGAGGATAGGGAAAAAAAGATAAAAGTTTCTTGCTGGTGTGAGTTTGCTAATACGCCAAGAGGATAGGGAAAAAAAGAGGAAAGTTTCTTGCTGGTGTGAGTTTGCTAATACGCCAGCTCTAATAAATAATAAAAAAAGTCTTTTTTAATTCTCTTTATATTATATAAATTAAAATAAAATAAAAAAGTCTTCTTTGATTCCTTTTATATTATTAATAAAGAAAAAGTCTTTGAATTTTTTTTATATGATGGTGCAACTTGCATGGTATCTAATCGCACGGTATGAATATTTTTTGGCATGCTGCCACATTGAAATATTGTATCTACTCACATGGTGTGAATATTTTACAGTTAGGATGAGTTGGAACCTCATCGGCACAAACATACAAAAAAAAAAAAAGGTGGTAGAAAAAGTTGGTATTTTATTTTAGGAAAAAAACTGATTGATGAACGTGTTGAATCTTTAATTCAATATTAGATTTATACGTGAATAATTATGTATCTTAAGAGTAATTTTTATTTTTATGATGGACTAAAATAAAAATACTAAAAGATAACATAAAAGTTATTTATATATAGTGGTTATGGTTCCCAGATCACATGTGACATTCTATTTTTTCTGGCATCCCATCATCAGAGAGAGCAGTGAGAAAGCTAAAGGATTCTTTAGGAAAATGTGTTGATCTGGAAGACAAACCGCACGGTTCTAAAGAGTAATTTATTGTTATGAATTCAGGTACGCTTCTGTTTATTACTTTATTAATTTTTAGTGATCCAATATGAACATTTTCTGAATTTTAAGTGATAGTTTTCACCGAAGAATATTTTCTAACAGAACGACTTAAAAAAAATGTCATTAATGTCTAGGTGAGACATTAATTAACAGACTAAGGAAAATACATGATTTCTCGATGGTTTGAGTTTGCTGGTGCAGATTTTAATGAAGGTCTTTATGATTCTTTTCCTGGCAACTACCAAAAAATGATTGGATAGTTGTTCAAAAAAGAAACGCACACTCAAATCATAACTAGTCTGTATATATGTAGGTTTCGTTCATTTTACCGATTCGAGTTTAGAATTTAAATTTTGTTACAATAAAAAACTCTTAGAAATAGTCACATTACTACAATAAAAAACTCTCATATAAAGTCACATCTCAACTCGAATTAAAAATTCAAATCAACAAACTAAACGATGGCCCGTAATATTTCGTTTGTAATTTTTCAATGTAACCACAAACTTGTTAGAATAGAAATTTTGAAACCTGCAGTTGATAATGATGCAGAGGCTGGTTTGTGTAAAATTAGCCAAAAAGTCGTCTTTGTTTCTTATATAATGGTGCAACTTGCAACCTACAACTTGCAAGGTAAGTTGACTAAATCATAATAATTTTGGGTATTGATTTTGCCGCCACATTTAAATATGTTATCTACTTAGGGGTGTTCGTCGGTTCGGTTTTGTCGGTTTTGGTCAGTTCGGTGGCCGAACCGACCATGTCAGTTTTTTAAAAGTTAGAACCGAAACCGAACCGCACCTAACATTTTCGGTTCGGTTAACCGAATTTCGGTTTCGGTTCGGTTTCGGTCGGTTTTGGTAATCAGGAAGATGACCTCAGTTAACCATCAGGTTACCAGCATCTTTAATTGCATTTTTGACTCGCAAGTACGAAAAAATGTAAAATTTTCCTTCAATGTAAAGTTGCAAACACGTAATCACAATAAATGAATATAAGCACATCATCAAAATTGATAATGACACAAACACAAGATTAAAAAAGATTTAAATTGTCATAAGAAACAAAACGAAAACATAAAAAAAAAAAAAAAAAAATCCCATCTCGGTCGGGTCGGTTTTAACCGACTCTCTACACGTAAAACCGAAACTGAACCGACTTTTGAGGAAGTTGGTCGGTTAACCGAACCGACTGTGTTCTGTTCCACGTGGCACCGTCGTTTTCGATTTTAAGCGGTCAGTTTTTCGGTCGTTTCGGTTTTACGGTTTTTTTGTACACTCCTACATCTACTCGCATGGGGTGAATATTATACATATAAAAAAAAGAAAAAAAATGAAAAAGAAGAGATAGTTTACCTCTTTGAAAATTTTTGGCTGGACGTTACTTATACTATGACATGAATCTACAAAGGACAAAAGAGAAAAACGGCGGTGAATGGTGGATTGATCTGATGATGTCATCTGAATTTTAGCAGTGAAAATGTCAATCAAAAGCTTTAAATGTCTCCTTGTAATCACATCCCAGATTCGCACATTATATTAAACATGAACATTAGCGTTTACATACAATTTGGAACACAATTAATAAGGAAAAGCGAGGAACTAAATTACACTTATCAATTTAAACTTTCTTACCAGATTACTCCACTGATGACTTGATATAATAATTATTGTGCCTTGAGCTTTTGTCAAATAAGTGTCTACGAGCTTCATTCGGAATTTGTGAGAGAAGTAATTGTGATTTTAGAGTATAGTTCCATCCACAAGGTTTTATTTTTTATTTTTATTCTTATTCTTTTTTTTTTTCCAACTCAGTATCCAGGAATAAACTTCCTTGCAACATATTAGCCCACCTATCACGTTGGTCTACTCTAGGAAAAAGAGCCGAAGGGGAATACGCTGGGGCTAGGGGAGGGAAGTGGAAATATGGAAAATAGGTGCTAGGTGGCAAGTTGGTTACGAGCTGGAGGTGACAAGTTGGTTACGAGTAGGAGAGCTGGGGAGTATTTAGGCGGTGGAGTGGCCTGGGAATTGGTGTCTGTTGATTGAGAATTTTGTTAGCAGACCTTGGGAGGAAGGAAACCCTCAAATTCTCCATTGTTCTTGCTTTTCTTTTAGCTTTTCTTATGTTCTTATTTTCATAGATGTAATTCCTCTCTTTGGACTTGACCCATTTTCAAGTAAATTTCTCTGAATCTGTGTTATGTTTTAGTCTAGGGGGGGGGGGGGGGGGGGGGTGTGGGGTGTTCCTAACAATTTGGTATCAGAGCCAAGGATCCATGGCGGATGCTTACGGCGAACGGGCTCAGGCGGAGGAGGTTTCGCGGCTGGAACGAAGACTGGACACGTTCTTCGAGGTGCTTCAGATCGTAGAGGGGTTGACAGAACCTCTTCCTAAGCTCTAAGACAACGTGACTGAGTTCGGAGCGCAGCTGGGAGAAGTGCAAGGATCGGTGCGGCAGCTGGAGCATCTTCTTCTCCGTCAAGCGGAACTACTTCAGCGGAACCCACCACCGCGATTCGAGGCGGACCCGGCACGGTATCAAGACCCACGACGACGGGTTCCCCACCTCTGACCAGCGTCTCCACCCCCACCGCTGCGAGACGACAAACCCGGCGGTATGGGCGCGATCTACGTCCGGAGTCACCACCGCCTCCTAGGGGTCGGGTGGAGCATCGAGGAAGAAAGTTGGAGATGCCTCTGTTTAATGGTGCAGACCCACAGGGTTGGACGTTTCGGGCTGACTGGTACTTCGCCGTCAATGAGGTGGAGGAGGACGAGAGGGTGGTGGTAGCATCGGTTTGCATGGAGGGGCGGGCTCTGGGCTGGTTCCAGTGGGAGGATGCTCAAGATCCGTTCAGGTCTTGGAGGGACCTTAGGGCGGCTGTATTGTGACAATTTGGGTGGATGGGGGAGGTGGACCTGGTGGAGCAGCTCATGGCTCTCCGATAGAAGGGCACGGTGGCGGACTTCCGGGATGAATTTGAAGCAACTGCCGCCCATATGAGGGGGGTTCCTGAGGCGATTTTTAGGGGAGCTTTCCTTCACGGGCTCCGGGAAGACATTAGGGCCGAGCTGAAAATGCATCGGCCCAACAGTTTACACGATATGATGGACCTAGCCCAACAAGTGGAGGCCCGCAATGAAGCTGCGAATCGGGTCAGGAGATACCGGATGGGCCGTGGGCCTAGGGCTGACGCGTGGGGTAGGCAAAAGGGGACTTATGAGGGCCAAAATTTTTCTCCACCCACACCAGAGAGCACCATTCAATCCAAAACAGAGGCCACGGCGGGATGTCACAGGTCACAGCTAGGAACGGGGTTAGGAACAACCCCAGCTTCAGGGGAGTCGTCGGCGTTCCGACGGTTAACGGAAGAAGAAATGCAATATCGGCGAGCCCGGGGCCTTTGCTTCTAGTGTGATGAGAAGTTCAGCCCGGGTCACCGATGCAAAAATCGCCAGCTACAGGTGCTGATTTGGCAGAGGAAGAGGAGTCTTCAGACGGGGACGGTAGGGTGGTCCGGGATCACTCCACGGACGTGGAAAAGGGAAAAGAGGAGGCTAACGACAGAGTGGACTTATCTTTCAACTCAATGCGTGGGGTGTCTTCTTCTAACACGTTGAAGCTCCGAAGACAAATTGGGGGCCGCGAGGTAGTGGTGCTGGTGGACAGCGGAGCTACATACGGCTTCATTTCGGCTTCGGTGGTGGCGGAACTGCAGTTGCCGGTCGATCCTTTGGTAAGTCACAATATCTTAGTGGGAAATGGCATGAGTTTTAAACAAACTGGCATTTGTAGAAGAGTGCAAGTGTGGATTCAGGGGCATCGGGTATCGGGTAGAGGAGGATTTCTTTTCTTTCGATTTAGGGGGGTCAACCTAGTCCTGGGAGTGACTTGGCTGAGTACACTCGGCGAAGTAAGGGCGGACTGGTCTAAGTTTATAATGAACTTCAGGGCAGGACCGACGAGGGTGATTTGGCGAGGGGACCCCAGTTTGTGTTATGCCCCTATGAAGATGAGTTCCTTGATTCAAACTTTTCCCCCGAACAGGGCGGGTTTGTTGGTGGAATTGTGTGAACTTGCATTGTAGGGAACGGACAAGAAAATAGAGATTCCAGAGGAG